TCTAGAATATATAAATTTACCTATGTGGCCTGCATTGTATTTCTCTTGGACAGGGCATCTCTAAGTGGTTTCCAAGAACCAAGCCTTTTGTTTTGCCAAAATCTTGCTCCTTTTGAATTAGTAATGGATCTTTTCCAAATCTCTTTGCTTTAATCATCCAGGATTCCAAAGAGTCGTCTCTTCTGGAGAGTAACAAGAAAAGGAAAGGCAGGTTAAAGAGCAGAGGAAGCAAAAGGAAGAAAGAAGATCTTCAGGAAGTAGATGGAGAAATAGAAGCCGTCCTGCAAAAGAAAGGTGCGACGCAGGTCTTGTGGGTGGTGGTGGCCATGTTTGCTTTGGGGGAGTCATCACTCCTCCAGGCTGATTTGCTTGGGGGAACCTTCCAGGTGCAGAGACATTTACTAGGAAATGTGTCAATAGCTAATGGATCTTTGTTTACTTGACAATTATTAAATATAATTCTGAGCCAAAACCGGTTTGGCTCAGTGGATAGAGCGTCGGCCTGCGGACCGAAAGGTCCCGGGTTCGATTCCGGTCAAGGGCATGTGCCTGGGTTGCGGGCACATCCCCAGTAGGAGATGTGCAGGAGGCAGCTGATCGATGTTTCTCTCTCATCGATGTTTCTAACTCTCTATCTCTCTCCCTTCCTCTCTGTAAAAAATCAATAAAATATATTAAAAAAAACCAAAACAAAACAATAAAGATAAATTAAACAAAAAACACAAAACCACAGCTTTAAAAAAAAAAAATAAATAAATAAATAAATAAATAAATATAATTCTGAGTTACTGCTGAATCACTAATCTTTTCACTTCCTCCCTTTTCGTTTACCAGCTCAAGCCAGGGGGCTAGACTTCCAGACCTCCAGCGTGAAGTTTGAAGATGTGGGAGGCAATGACGTGACACTAAAGGTTATTCAGATTCAGAATTTTACTTCCAGTGGGTATTGCTAATCAGTTATGCAAATCAAGTCCACTTCTTTGTTCCTAATAGGAACTGGGTGTAGGAAAGGAGTCTGGGAAGGGGAGACGAGCAAACCTAACGTGTACCCTGCAGGGTATTGAGGGATAAAAGCACCACAATAGCTTCAACTTCGTCACCACTTTAATCGTATTGTCCATAAGCCACATGCTTTGTAAGTGCTGTTATTTAAAAGTGGTAATAATAATGGTTCCTGCTCATGTTTTAGTGTCTACTCTATTCAGTGACCCTGCTAGTTATTTTTCAATACATCTGCAAGGTAGACATTAGGAAATGGAAACTCAGCCATGTTATTGCTGAAGTCATGCAGTAGGTACCAGAGCTGGAAGTCAAGCTCAGGTCTAAATCCAAAGCATATAATCTCCTATATTTTGCTGCTCCAGAGAATAGGACATTTCATTCCGTGTTGATTCTTTCTCCCTTGGCCTGGGAAAGACATCTCTGCCGTTTCCTCCCTGCTAGGAAGTCTGCAAGATGCTCATACACATGCGTCACCCGGAGGTGTACCAGCACCTGGGCGTCACACCCCCTCGTGGAGTTCTCCTTCACGGACCGCCAGGCTGCGGGAAGACGTTACTTGCACATGCAATTGCTGGGGTGAGGTTTGCTGACACTTGGTGGCTTTTGTTATTTTTGTTGTTGTTTGTTTTTACTCTTTCGTTAACTTGAATCAGACTTGGCATGTTCTTAAGAGGACTGATTGCTCATTTTTTTTATCTCTTTCATGCTGCTGTTTGTGAGATGCTATTTTTTTTAAAAAAGTCTTTATTGTTGAAAGTATTATGTCTCCTTCCCCCTCCCCCATTAACCCCTTTGAGGCCCTCCCCCTCATACCTGCCCCACCCTCCCCCCATACTATTATTTATATCTGGCTGTTTATATGGCAAGGATTAGGTGGGAAACAAAATTATATAGCTGTGAACAACACCCCCTCTTTTTTAAAACACATTTATATTTTACATTTTAGCTACTTCTCTTTCTCTTTAAGCCAGTGGTTCTAAAGAGCAGTGAAATAAGAAAACTAAGGATGTGTTGTTTTTTATAGAACTAAATTTATTCAGAGTAACGGTCTTATACTATTTTTTCTAAAATAGATACTTGGCAAAATGAAAAGTTAGCAATCTTATTTTAGTCCCATCAAATTTTTCAGAAACTGTAGTAGATGGTAAAATACAAAATGAGACCTTCAATTTTAAGCACAGGGTGCTATACTGATCACTAATAGATTAGTGCTCTATGAGACTTTATATAGGAGAATTTGATGGATTTGCTTCATTTATTCATTTGTTGGATAAATCAATTATGTGACTGCTATGTGCCAGACATTTGAAATATAGTGATAAGTACAACAAACCCAGCTTTTATCTTTAAGGAATTTTTCAGTCTAATATGGGAGACAGACATTACGCAGTCATTCATGCAAGTAAATGTCTCCATAGTTACAATGGTAATAAATGAGAGACACAAAAAGTGCAGAATGCCGTATGATTGTTGAAACCCAAGTTAAGAGTTTGGAGCAAAGAAAATGTGATTGCGGAATGGAATTTCACGGTGAATTTAGGCAGGCTTGTCACCATCTGTCGGGTGGGAAGTGGTAGTGTCCCTTCCTCTGCTTAAAGAGCCTGCCCTCTCTGACTAGTAAATGGCTACTCGTCTGGACTCAGGAGAGAGCAATGCTAGTAGAGTGTGAGGGACAACTGTGTCACCACCCCTGCTATTTCCTCTTCAAAAGATAAATTTGTTTTGGTTCAGTTCTAAGTGGGGGAAAATATCTCTCTTGATATTCCAGACCCTTTATTCAGAGGAGATGATAATAGAGTTTTATAGTGACGTCTGTAAAGTAAAAACAAGTTATCTTATCATTATGTTTGAATAAAATCATAGATTTTAAAGTTTTCTATTGGACCAACACAAAAAGATATTTCTCAGGAAATTTGTCATTTTAAAAATGTCATTATGAGAGAGGGACTGACTACAGACAAAGTAGGGAAGTGAAAAATTAAAAAATTGATCATTCTTTTATACATCTGTGCACAGGAACTTGACCTTCCAATTCTCAAAGTAGCTGCTACAGAGATTGTGTCTGGAGTATCTGGAGAATCTGAACAGAAGCTGAGAGAACTGTTTGAACAAGCTGTGGTGAGTCAGCTAATGAGTAATGTCACGTTGTCACATTGTATAAGGTTACATTGAAAACCCTGTTTTCTCCAATTGTTACCCATTCACTAGCCACTTTTTTTAAAAAAATATATTTTTATTGATTTCAGAGAGGAAGGGAGAGGGGGAGGGAGAGAGAGAGAGAGAAACTTCAATGATGAGAGAGAATCATTGATGGCTGCATCCTGCACGCCCCCCACTGGGAGTCAAGTCCGAAACCCGGGTATGTGCCCACCAGAATCAAACCTGGGACCCTTCAGTCCGAAGGCTGATGCTCTATCCACTGAGCGAAACCATCTAGGGCTCACTAGCCATTTTTTTGGTAAACATAATTTTTGCTACTCATGATGGCAGAATATTTACACTTGATCTTAGCCAAAGGCTGAGAAATGATGAATGCTAAATATTTAAAGTAGGTTTACTGATACGGACCATGGGATAAAATAATCTGTTGATTCTGAAACCAAAGATAAATTGGTGTATGTTGAAAAGAGATTATCCTTGTGATCATTTTACTTTCACTTTTCACAATACAGGATTGCCAAACACCTTTTAAGCAATGTGAAAAATTTTAACATTAGAATGATCGCATTATAAAAGCAACCATAGAAATACCAGCATAAACTCTTCTGTGTTTGCATAATTGAAGCTGTGACAAGAAAGTTCTGTCACGGGAGAAGTTACAGCTTGGACTTTATCCTGGTTGGAATTCATGTCATTAAATTTGTATGCTTAAGAACTTCTGAGAAAGATGACATTTGGGTCCAGTTAAAGTTTTCTCTTCCATACAGTGTCCTCGTTAATTGTCTGTACTTTCAGATCTGAAGCATAGGTTCAATCCTTGTGCCACCCCTTAGTAATTGTGGAATCTCAGACAAGATATTTAACTTTCCTAACCTTGAGCTTCCTTACTAGTTATCTGGGTTAATAGTACTACTCACATCTCATGGGTTGTTGAAAGCATCGAATGAGAGGATTCTTCTAAAACCTTCCATGTGGTGTCTGCGACCTGTGGTCTCTGGAACTTCTCATGCAGCTGGCTCACGTGTCCAGTAGTCTAAGTGCTTCTCTGTGAACACTGTCATCGGGGGCTGGGAGGAGAGCCAGCTAGTGAGGGCCCAAATCTCTTTTCTTTTAAATTGTGTGGTTTTGAGTCTTAGCCGGGCTCAGAGTCTGACTCAACATAATCAGTGTCACTCCCACCCACTGAGTAACTCAGAATGAGCTGTGCTGTAGCTTATATATATATAGATATTTTTATCTAAAGTTTTTATTTTAACTGATCCCTATCTATTTGTCTCTTTGTTTTTATTGGGGTAGATATGTTTACCTTACCATTTTAAACATTTTGGAGTGTACACTTCTGTGGCATGAAGTACACTCATATTGCTCTGTAACCATCACCCTCCTCCATCTTCAGAAGTTTTCATCTTTCCAAACTGAAGCTCTACCCATTAAACCCTCTAACTCCCATTTCCCCCTCCTTCCAGCACCTGACAACCGCCATTCTACTTCTGTCTCTACCAGTTTGACTACTCCAGGTAGTCGGTTGCTTATATTACATCCTAACTTATTCTACCTTAGCTCTTATCTAGTTTATATTTTTTAAAATGCTCATTCTCCACACTGATGCCTGGGAGCTTGGCCACCCTTCCTGATTCAGTGTCATCTTCAAAGTCAGCCACTCACAGTTTCCGTGAGGGAGGATGCTAAGTTCTGGAGATGTTTGGATGGCTGCACAGGGCATGAACATATTCAATGCCATTAAACTGTGCCCTTAAAATGGTTACAATAGTAATTTTATGGATATTTTACCACATAAAAACAAATAAAAAATAAAGCTTTTAGTCTTCTTAAATGGCACTTATAGCAGATTCTAGGGAAAGGCTTAGATATTTTTACATCGGCAGGAACACATAGAACATTTATAAGTTTAGGTTTTTTTATTTAACGCTTATAAACTTGTAATTTATATATCATAGCATAGCAAACATGCCTAATTTGCAAAAGAATTGTGGTTGATTTATCATCACAAAACATGGATTGATGAGAAGACTTTAAATGTGTTCTATTATATGGAGTCTCTTTTAAGCATCTTGCTTCTCTCTTTTTTTTAATATATTTTATTGATTTTTTACAGAGAGGAAGGGAGAGGGATAGAGAGTTAGAAACATCGATGAGAGAGAAACATCGATCAGCTGCCTCCTGAACACCCCCCCACTGGGGATGTGCCCGCAACCCAGGTACATGCCCTTGACCGGAATCAAACCCGGGACCCTTCAGTCCGCAGGCTGACGCTCTATCCACTGAGCCAAACCGGTTTCAGCAACATCTTGCTTCTCTTAAGTCAGATAAGTCATGCACTGTGACTGCCTTCTTTAGGGTTACTGTTTTGGTGAATGATACTTGAATGTGAAGATTTTTAAAAATGTGTAGTTAACTATGCTGCAGTACAGGAAATATATTTATGATTGTCTTTTGTGATATTCTTGTTTCTAGTCAAATGCTCCCTGTATCCTTTTTATTGATGAAATTGATGCCATTACCCCCAAAAGAGAAGTTGCTTCAAAAGATATGGAACGAAGAATTGTAGCCCAGCTCCTAACCTGCATGGATGGTCAGTTTCAAATGATGAATTCGCTTTGAGAGAATAAATTGTCTTTGTTTTTAATAGTGTAAGTAATATGTGAGGATATAAAACATTCAAATAGAATAAAACTCAGAGTAAAAAACAGAAATCTTTTTTTTCCCCATAAAAAATTACATCATTAATATTTTAGTTTTTTGGAGTGTAACTTACAGTCATTTTTAATGAGCTTACACAAATGTATAAACACACTAACATATTGTTGCACTTTTTACAATAGTGTGATTGCACCATACACATTGTTCTGTAATTTGCTATTTGTATCTTAAACATGTCTTGGGAATGTTACCATTTCAGTGCAATTATATTCTTTTTTTTTTTAAATCCTCACCCAAGGATATGCTTTTATTGGTAAAAATCAATTGAGAGAAATAATACGTAGGGAAGATACACTAGGCCCTGTATTCTGTGTGTGCCTAAAAATTTAGCGGTGGATTAAGCCAGAGCAACTGAAGACTGTATTGTGTCCCATCTCAGATTAATGCCGTGGGTCTATTTGGAGACATGTACCCCTCGGTCTTGCCCAGACTCCCTGTTGTTGGACTGCTCACCTTGTGCTTCCCCTCACACCTTTCCTCCCATGTAGGATTTCATTACCGTAACGCTGCTTATCGGTATCCTGCCCTGCGAGCATGGAATGTTACCTCGTCCATCCACTCTCCATTATTCCTCAGCCATCATGTCACTGTGGTGCCTTTTTTAAAAATATATTTTTATTGATTTCAGAGAGGAAGAGAGAGGGAGAGAGAGACAGAAACATCAATGATGAGAATCATTGATCGGCTGCCTCCTACACGCCCCCAACTGGGGATTGAGCACGCAGCCTGGGCACGTGCCCTTGACCAGAATCAAACCTGGGACCCTTCAGTCCGCCGTCCAATGCTCTATCCACTGAGCCAAACCGCTAGGGCTGTGGTGCTTTGTTTATACCTGTTGTTATGCCTCACAAAATCTGTCTTTATGTTTCTCAATAGATTGTGAGCTGCTTGAGGACCATTTGTATTTAATTTCCTCACGTATCAGGCATTTAGTAAATGTTAGTTATATATATATATATATTGCTGTCAAAATGTGTAATACTTTCTCTCTAACCACTTAAATGACTTGTGTAAGCATTATTGTCCTCATTGTCAAGTATCTTGTTCACCACTCACCCTGTGTCTGCTTCTTATTAGATCTGAATAATGTGGCTGCTACAGCTCAGGTCCTAGTCATTGGAGCTACTAATCGGCCAGACTCGTTAGACCCTGCTTTGAGACGCGCAGGACGGTTCGACCAGGAAATATGCCTTGGTATCCCCGATGAAGCATCCAGGGAAAGGTATGCTTAGAGAATGAACAAGTGTGCCACTGTGTCATCTGAATGAATGCTTTGAAATGGAGGGGTGAGAAGCATGTTGCCTTGTCTTCCTCCCTCCCTCCCTCCCTCTCTCTCTCTCCAGTTAAATTGATTTGGAAAGGAAAGAAGCCCACATTAAATGAATGCTTTAAGAAAATAATTTGCTCATCAGTAGGGTAATTGTTTCAGACTTTTTTCAGCAGTAATAATGGACTTACATACCTATATACTCATTTGTCCACTATTAACAGTGGCTTGCATTTTTACTTTGGCTGGTCAGCTTAGGGCAGTGTCTAGAGTATGGAATAGAGCAGTGTTCACTGGTCCACATGGGGGTGCAATCTGAGTACCATACCTTAACCTGTTGCACTAACCTGCCTAAGACCAGAGGTTCCAGGAAAAAGAAAGAAATGGCTGCCAGAGAGTTGAAACCTGGGTTTTGTTATAGACCAGCCCTTCCTAGTCATTGGTGTTGAATGTCAGCAGAGCAAAGACATGTCCGCCGAATGACTAACAATACCTCAGGGGGCTCTCTTTAGGAGTAGAAATCTAGTAAAGAAATATTTTGAAATACTGTATTTCAAGTAAATATATTCAGTGACTTGTTTTTACTAGTAGGTTAGGAATCTGAATTTTCCCTCCGTCTTTTCTACAGAATACTTCAAACGCTGTGCAGAAAACTAAGACTTCCGGAAACGTTCCATTTTCGTCACTTAGCACACCTCACGCCCGGCTTTGTTGGTGCAGATCTGATGGCACTCTGCCGGGAGGCAGCCATGTGTGCAGTCAGCAGGGTCTTAATGCGGCTGCAGGATGCACAGAAGAAAGAGCCTGAGACGGAAGGTTTTCCATGTGAAGGAGGCCAGGGAGAAAGGATGGGAACTGAGCCCACTTACACAACACAGGTGCTTTCCAGACAGGTACCTAAACTGCCCTTCAAATGTTCTTCATTTGTGTGACCTTACCAGCAAGCGTCGTCGTCATTGAGGTTTATGATTTTCTGTTGTCTTGGCGTTTTATCTTTAGAATAATTATAAGTTATGCCCAGAATGTCTGTAATTTCAAAATTACAAGTTGGTTGGTTGGTGTGTTTTTTTGTTTATCCTGAATAAATTCATTTTACAATAATGATTATGACATTCTGGAGCAGGGGTTGGCAAACTATGGGCCTTCAGCCTACCAGCTGTTTTTGTAAATGAACATTGTTATTGGGACCCAGCTGTGGTCATTTATTTACATGGTGTCTATTTCCACTCTCACCTTTCACAGCAGACTCTGCACAGGAGTCCTGCAGCAGAGACGTGTGCTCTCTAGCCCTTCATGGAAGTGTGCTGACTCCTCTTAGAGCATTGGGCACTCAGTTCTACTTCCTCGTTACCTTTTGGTTAGGCGGACTAGGAAGTGCTGGCACAACCATACTTTATCTCTAGCTGCAGGTGGTTCTGGATGACAGTCCTATGAATGTGAGAGGGGCATTGATCAGTCTAGGTCACTGTTAAAATTTTGAGTTTTGTAAATCACGAAACCTCAAAATAACATTTTTACAGCACTTGAAGGTTTGCACAGGGGGTGTCTCCGTATTATATAATTTGATCCATGTAACTTTGCCAAGTAAATATCATTACTTTCCTCTTTTTATAATCAGAGAAACTAAGGTTAAGAGAGTGTGACTTGCCTAAGGCCCTGCTCCCTCTACTTTCCAGAGCAGGAACTTAGACCTACTAGTAGGTCTTTGGTTTTTCAAATTATTTTTGTCTTACTCATTTGGAACCACAATTTTATCTGTTAAAAATATAACTGTATCCCTTTTATAATGTTGCATATAGGTTAGGATTTTATAAATTGAATTATTCAGAGTTACTCTTTATATTTGTCCTTTCATTTTCTTCACAAGGCAAGAAATCTGCCTTTGAAGTTCAAGACTGAAATTTTGCTGCCATCAGAGTAACTTTGTTTTAATTTCACCAAAATTCAGCTGCTCTTAAATATTTATAAATGAAAAATGGAAATAACATGGTTATTGAAATGAATCTATGCCAACTGCTTATATTTGCTGTAGCTAGCCATCGTATAGGATGCAAAAATCATTCTTCTGTATTTGAGTATAATTGGTGTTCCTTTCCTTGCCCAATTAAATTATCTATTTAGAATAAAGTTAACTTCTTGTGTCAGTGGAGATGATTATTAAAATGCTTAGAAGTTTACTGTAGCTTGCAGAAATATTACAGAAATAATTTTTAAAAGTACAAAAAGTAATGTTTCGACAAACTTGGTGATTCTTCTTTTCTTCTCCCAATCGCTCCCGCTAAGGATGAATTGCAGAGCCTGCTGAGGTTGCTAAGAAACCAGGATCCCCTCTCGGAGGAGCAGCTGCAAGGACTGTGCATTGAGATGAATGACTTCATTGTCGCTCTGTCCTCAGTCCAGCCCTCTGCCAAAAGGGAAGGCTTTGTCACAGTCCCCAACGTGACATGGGCAGATGTTGGTGCCCTGGAAGACATTCGAGAGGAGCTCACCATGGCGATATTGGTAGGTGTGTCTGTGGCTAAATGCCGCTGGCACGTTTGATGGGTACATGACCACACATGTATACTAGGTTGTACATGTTCTGTGGTAGTAACATGAAGCCCCAATGATGGTTTTTCATTTTTCTGAGATCTTTTTTAGACTTACTCTGTTGGTTGTGCATGAATTCTGTGAGAGTAAGTAAAAATGAAAGTTTAGGTTCCAACCAAGACCAAATTGTTGGGAAAGACTTTCTGAACTTAGTCAGGCTCACGAGGGCCACAGCAGTTTTATGCCCATGAAACTTAGGATTTTCCTTTACTCTTTTTCACGCTGCTGATCATTTCGGGGTTCATGAATGAAGTGTGATCTCTGCAGAGATGTGTAACTATTGAGAGAGAAAATGCATGGAGGTTACAGCGAACAGGTGGTTCTGGCTTTTGACTATGTAGAGCACTGCTGCTTTTGGTTTCTTAAAGGAGGACATTGCCTACAATTCTTATAGCCTGGAAATTTAGATATTTTTTTAGAAACTTTTATGTTCAAAATGTTTTCAGAACTTACATTTTAAGTATGGATTCCTCAGAGCAGGGACTTTTTTGTTTCCCACCGTATACCTCATGCCTGGAGCAGGTAAGCACTTGGTCCCCGGCACTGTTCGTCCCTTCGGGCCTTGTGATCAGTGCTGACAGTGGGCCTCCGGAGAGCATGTGACACGCAGTATAAAATGACGCTTGTAACGGATCACTGCGGTTCTACTTCCAGGCACCAGTACGGAACCCAGATCAGTTCCAAGCTCTCGGATTGGTGACTCCGGCCGGAGTCCTCCTCGCCGGTCCTCCTGGCTGTGGGAAAACGCTGCTGGCGAAGGTATGGTCTATTACTAAATGTCCTTTCTTAATGCGTCTAGTACCTTTACAAGGCATTGCTATCAAGGAGTTTGAGAACAGAGGAGGGGAGTGAGAACATCACAGTCTTGTTCTGCACCTTGTACAACAGTTTTAGGAAAACATGGCCAGAAAGAAGGCCCTGCGTGCTAAAATGTGAATCCACCAGGTGGAAGCCATCCCCTGCCTGGGTGCCTTACAATGTTTGTTTTTAATCTTGACTGACAGTGAGTGCAAGTTTCGTGGTGCTGCCCATGAAAAATTCAGTCATGTCCACTATGTTTCATTTGGAAGCCAAAGATTTCTGATCATTTCAGGAACTATTGGGGGTTTTGCTGGGTTACATCTTAGGTACCTGGCATTTAGATGTTGAAAACCTAATGTGAATGAGTCAGACTTCATTAGATGCGTATCCTGACTCTCCCTTACTTAATGAGTTGAGAGATAGGAGACTTATGAAATTGGCAGCAGGAAAGACAAAGATTGAGAGAGAGAGAGGATAATAATCTTCATGTTGAGCAATTTTTGGTGGCGGAGCATGCATGCGTTCATGGTTCAGCAGGTATTTATTGAGCTACTGACTTTGCCAGAAATTGTTCCAGGTGCTAGGGATAAACTTGTGCTAATAGAATTTATTGTCTGTTTGGAAGGGGCAGGCAGTAAACAACAAAATTACAGATTCAGCTTAAGTTCTAAAGGAAATAAACAGATTGTTATGATGGATTGATTGGGAGATGGCTATTGTGGGTATGGTGTTCAAGGGATGGTGATATTTTATATATTTTTTTCATTGATTTCAGAGAGGAAGGGAGAGAGAGATAGAAACATCAATGATGAGGGAGAATCATTGATTTGCTGCCTCCTGCATGCCCCCCACTGGTGATCAAGCCCGCAACCCAGGCATGTGCCCTTAACCTGAATCGAACCCAGGACCCTTCAGTCCGCAGGCCGGCGCTCTATCCACTGAGCCAAACCAGCTAGGGCAAGGGATGGTGATATTTAAGAGTTGTGAAGAAGCCCTAACTGGTTTGGCTCAGTGGATAGAGCATCGGCCTACGGACTGAAGAGTCCCAGGTTCAATTCCTGTTAAGGGCCTGTGCTGGGTTGCAGGCTCGATCCCCAGTAGGGGGCGAGCAGGAGGCAGCCAATCAATCATTCTCATCATTGATGTTTCAACCTCTCTCTCCCTAAAACTTTTCTCTCTGAAATCAATTTTTAAAAAAAGTATTAA